GGGGTGAGGTTTCGCTCGCAGCCATCTTTATTTTGACGCGTTCATTAGAAATTGAATTTGTCAGCGTGGTCAGCGGGCAGCATGGACGTCTCGGGTTAACTGACGTGTGCGTTGTTAATCCTCGAGCTCGTCCACGCGCCGCTGTGCTGCTAATGTTTATCGATGCTGCTGCATCTCCAGGCGGGGCGGGGGGCTTCTTGTCACTTAAACCATATTAACCATCATGGTCTTTAGTGGCTCGCACCCTGGAGGGTACCGGATCGTTGCATCAAACGGAGATTTAATCAGAAGCTGTTGGAGAACTCTCTGACACTGACCAGGTTCATGTTTCCAAATCCATCAGATTCAAAGTTTGGCAGCAGTTAAAACTAAATGTAATCTGTGTCTTCAGACATCCTGAYCCCCATGATTTAAATCCTTCAGTTGGGGTCTTTATAAAGTGGAACTGCAATGCTTTGGTCTGAGTTCCTCCTTATTGTAACTCCACAAGCCCCGCTCCTTTTTTGTTTTTGGTGTGAAAAAAAGAGTCTCTTGTAATTATCTTTGTGTTTTTTTTATTAAAGTCAGATAAGTCGAGGCAGATGRCCRCCCGTCCTGAGCCTGGTTCTGGTTCTCCTGAGCCTGGTTCTGGTTCTGCTGGAGGTTTCTTCCTGTTCAAAGGGAGTTTTTCCTCTCCACTGTCACCTCTGTCTGCTCAGGATGAGACGGTGATGAAGTGATTCAACACAACCTGCTGGCTTCTTTAGGTTGATTGTGTTTTGTGTGCAGTGCTCTGAGACGTTTCTTAGGACTTGGTTCAATTTAAATAAATTTAATTGAATAATTGGATTTTTAATGATTTTGCAGCRTTGTGATAAAATGTATCTCTAAGATKTAATAAATGAAAAGGTTGAAGTAAGGTTGTATAAATACAATTTTGATTTCTAGAACACTTTTTCAATAGACAGAAATTGCCTTTTAACTTGGATCAAATGAAAAATTTTGGCCCTTTTGACTCTCCTGCTTCAGAGTTTTCAGATATTTCCATGTTTTCACCTCACCTTTGTTCTGGTTTGTCTCTTTATTGGTGTTAATTTCCAGTTTAATGAAAGTGTTTTGTGGAAAAGGAGGAGCAAAGTGTCAGGATTATATGGATGGATGGATTTTATTGTAGTTGTGCTGATTGAAAGGAGGCYGGAGCATCCATCTCTGCTGTCTGACACACTCTGCTCCCCATCCTGCTCGTCTATTCTGTCTTTATTCAAGCAGCGGGATTACAGTGAAGAAAGCAGCAAAGCAAGCAGAAAGGGATTATTTAACAGCAGCAAAGGGATTAAAGGGAAACGTTACATCTCAAACACAGCAACAGACCCCCGCGGCCCACCGTCTGCAGGCCCATCAGTTTCTGAGAGCAGGTGTCTGACAGACTCTGCTGCTCGTTCGGACAGAAAGCCACACCCAGGACTTGAACTCTGGTCCTCATTTAGAGCCAGAGACATGAGGGTGGTCCGAGTCCAGGATCCAAATGAGAAATTCACGGCGTGACCTCAGGACCCGGGAAGATGAAAACGTTTGCTTTTCTTCTGATGCTGAGACCTCATCAAAGAAGGTCTTTGACCTAATCTGAGGCACAGAGCAGCCATGTCTGTGGTGATAGTCTTAAAACACTTATCCACTTGGTGGCAGTGTTTGCACYTTTACCTGTACCTTTACATGAAGAAGAGTACTAAGTGATTGTATGTTAGCAGGTGTGACACAAAAAAATAAAAGAGGAACACTGAGTTTGTCAAACGAAGTCCTGTCTGGAGTTTTACTAAAACATAACAATGTCCTCTTTTTATCTGCGGTCAAAATATTTAAAGGAACAGTTCAGATCTTTGGAAGTTTGGTTCTGGAGAGACAGTTATGTGAACGCTTGTTGAGATCATTTTTCAGCTCGTATCTCGCTCTGCAATCAAAACGTTCAGCTCCTTCAGGACACCCAGTTCTGATTTATTTGTATTTCAGCAATTTACACTTTGAGATATTCAAYTTTTTCTGCCACTTTCATTGAAATAAATGGAGCTRTTTTCAACAWMAATCCTTCAAAATGTTCATAAATCTTTAATTTCAGCTTCCTTTAGCTTCTATTTWGCTGATTTTAGCTACCATTCCRACATTGCTTATTTTCACTTTTTATGCTTCTTTTTGCTCATTTCAGCTGTTTTGTTTTTAGCCATTTYGTAGCTAATTTGAGCTTACTATATTCAGCAAACATATGCTCCTTTTAGTTTTAGCTGTTTTCTGTTCAGCTATTGTAGCTATTTTACATGATGGAAAATTTATAAACACTTCTTTTGTTTTTCTCCAATATGTTTTTACTCTCCCTTCACAGTCTGTCTGTTCATTTAAAGTGTTGAAATGACYGCTGTTAATTTCAAGGTCACAAGATAAAAGGTCAAGGTCAGAGGTGAACCATTTTTCTGCTTGTTTTACCTTGCTTTGTTTAAAATTCAGCCATATTCATTATATACAGTATATTTCTTTAGTAAATTCATCTTTTTTGCTTCTTTTTGTTGCTTCTTAAGACTACTTTCTGCTAATTCAGTTTTAACTCACATTAACCGTTTTGCTAAAGAAAAAAGAAAAAAACTTTTCAGCTTCTTCAGCTGTGCTAAGCAGGAAATGTTAATTTTCTAGTTTGTTTTATTTACCTCAGAAATCAGAACTTGAATTGGGACATCAGAYCCAACATCACTAATATTTGTTGCAACTACAACAGTTTGTTGTTGGTCAGTGGGTGAGCTGACTGGATCCAACATGTTCAGTAATTGAATGAATGAGACAAACTGACAGGAGTTAAAAGAAAGTTTGTTTTTGCAGCTGAAGTGGATCAAATGCATGAACGCTCAATAATCCAGTTAAAAAATCAGACAAGTTCACTCATCAGGAGATGAATTATCAGCATTAGAAGTTTAGAACTCCGACTGTAGAGACAAAAGGTTTCAGTGAGGAAGAACCCGTCCAGAGGACCTGACTCAACCTTGTTCCATTATTGCAGCTTTTTACCTCCATGTTGGTTTCTGAGGTCAAGAGTTGAGTCAGGATTTTATCTTTGTGGCAACACTCCAGTTGATTTTATTTCTTTTTTCAACTTAAAACACTTAGAATCTGACTCTGGGTACAAGTTGATTTTGTAGGTCAGTTTGAAAGAAATATTCTGTAGCAACGAACGACACCWGCAGCAGGATGGTGACGACAGAGAATTTACAGATTTATCCTGTCTGAGACTGAACTCTGAGCTGTGATTTTCTGGGCTTCTGATTGAAAGGCTGCAGCTGTTTGTGTTAATGAGACAGTTCAGATTTTATAAAGTGTGGTTCTGTGGAAATGTTGGTCTGTACTGAACTTACACTTGATGTGGCTTTTATTCTACACAGCTTTAGAAAACTGTTGAAGTCAATCTCCATTTATTTTGTTCAAAGCTGGTAAAGTCAAGGTAAAGAGCGACAGAAACTAAAGCAGTGAGTGAAAAAACAAACCTATAATCAGAAAAATAAAGACATCTTTTAATCAGTTTGTACATTAAGTTTCTGCATTGCTACACAATCGTGTCTCCYTCAGAGTACAGAAATGACCAAACGAGTTGATCTGAAACAGCTCAGAAAAGCGGGGCTTGTGGAGTTGTAAGGATAACGTTCCACTTTATAAAGACCCCAACTGAAGGGTTTAAARGCAGAATATCTCCTTTAAATMATTTGTTTAATATTAGCTTTAATTAAACTTCTGCCAGGAAAGGTGGTTTCATGAATAGCGAGAAGATTTTGCACAGGGAGGAGAAACTTATTTTAAGCTCATGTTTTGTGTGTTTTTGCAGCCAGAAGTGACTCAAGTCCTGATCCATGAAGAAGCAGCAGAACCACCACAGGGTGACATCTCGTACATCAGGTGAGTTTAAACCTGACAGATGGTTCTTACTGAGTGCAGATCAGCTGCTGCCCTGAATGTCACAGGTTTAGAAATAACAGCTGTAGCCATTTTGATCAAACCTTAAAACTACATGATATTCACTCACCTGCCTCGACTCATGAGCTTAAGGTAAAACCCATTCCTAATCCATAGGGTTCAATATGTTGGTCCAATCTGCARCTRGAACASCTTCAGCTCTTCTGAAGGCTGCCACAAAGTTTAGGAGTGTTTATTGGGCTTTTCTGGACTATAACTGGACTGGGCTTTTCCTGCTTGGCCTTCAGAGGAGTTGGACGCCTTTTGCTCTCTCTCCCAAACCTCCCTCTTTTCCCTGCTTTGCTGCCGGATCAAGCCTTTCTTCTACCTATCATTCGACAACAAAAGAACTATGGATCTGGTCAACTGGTCTCTGAATGCAAAYTGATACCATTTTTTCCACTGAGATTAGCGTGTGGGGAGCGCAGTTGTCTCAGTGGAACCGTCGCGGCCGGGCGTGYCGGGTACCTGGRGGTGGAATCTGATCTGCCTGGCACCTCTKTCCATTGAGGACGTCGAAGATGTTTTTATAYTCAGATTTATGATAATCAGATTTCTGCTGATCAGCTGTGGAAGAGTTCTGGTTTATCGGAAAATGAGAACGACACTGTCAGCAGTCCGGGCCTGTGAGAAGCTGTCTGCTACTCTGGATGGGATCTCCCGTACAGCAAACGCACAGACTCAAAGGATGGTTGTGGGCCGGCTGTGGTTCTGGCTAGGACCGCAGCCCAGCAGCGTGCCCGTGAGGAGTAAAGGCAACATCTGAGTGAAGTTCTTACAAGAGAGGCGAGATGGTAATGAATCTACATTATTGGCATTTTCGCAACACAGAGGCTCAGTTAAGACTTTAAAAGCAGTGGAATGAAAAGTCTGCTGTTGCCCTAAAGAATTATTTCCTTTCATCGGATTCCAACCTCCCTGGGAAGACACGTGTGGAGGAAGCCTTGATCCCCMCTCCCCACAACCTGTGTCTGGACCCGGTCTGGGTGGAAACAGAGAAACTGAACTCTGAACTGTGCTTGACTGATAACAGTTGGTTGGACTCTGAAGGTCCCTGATTGGTCCTGGCACTCTGCCCTGGATGTCACCGGGTCTGCTGCACCCCTCACCCCCTTCCAAATGTTTTGTTCCCCCACCACCTCCCTCCCCCTCCTTAGCTGCTCCTCTTTCGCAGAGTAGTTTTTTATGCATATGCTCGTGTGTTTTTCTATATAAAACACAGGATCAAAGCTCTTTTTTTAACTCATCCTTCCTACGTGTGTGTATTCTAAATTGCAAAGGTAGCGCACGATTTTGCGAAGGACCCTGGACATTCATTCCCCCATGTTTGTCATGTGTGTGTWTCTCCAGACGGATGTTTTAAACTGCAAATTCCTTGTGTGTGTAAACATACATGGCCAATAAACCTGATTCTGATAAGTTGCATTTCTTTCACAGTTTGGCTGGTCCTGCGACATATAGTCCAGAAAATCTGGTAATTCTCAGCTGCTGCCACAGATTGTAGATGTTCATCCCTGCAGTCAGTTTCATTCTCAGGGTTTTTCTATGAATCTAAACTGTTCAGCAGTAAAAACACAAACTTCAGACGTGTTCATCTTCTGCTGTTTATTATTTTTCTTCCACAGACATGAGTACATCATTAGAAGCGCGGCTCACATTATTGCATTAAGTGATGGTTTTTATGTGCAAACAGATGAGGAGAGGAGGAGGGAACTTTCTGTCGTTTGGACCCAACATTCAGAAACACGGCATCGTAAACACGGCTCAGGAAACCAACTTTCATTTTTGTTGTAAACTAKACTGAAGAGGTAAGAAAGGTGACATTTAAAAAACAAATTGTGCTTTAAAGTAAACTTTCACTGGTCTGAAACATTCAATCAGTAACACTGTTTAATCTGCAGCTTCACCACATTAACTTATGTGAAGCAGGAGCTGTGCTTTGGATCAGTTTTAATAGAAATCTAAATCTGCAACTGGGATTCCAATATTAGTTCAGCTGATTTTCACAGAATTAACTCGTAAATGAAGAGGGAGAAAAAGCCACACGTCAGAGCACCGTGTAATCCCATTTTCACCATAATCTGAGTGTAAAGACGAGTGGAACTAGATGTGAAGTTTTAAAATGTCATTACTGATACAGTAACAGAACATATGATGATCTGATTTATTTCCTTAAACTCTTCCTGTTTAAACTTATAGTGATTAAACATTCCCAGAATGCAATGTGACAAAGATGAGTGACGGGGGGGAAAATAAAAATCTAAACTGATGAAACACCSTCCTGAATGTTGTGTTAAATTACAAACATTTAAAGTTTGACTGACGTCAGGTTAGAAACGACTGCATGAATTAAGTTTCACATTAAGACTCTGCAGYGGAATGTTTGATCTAAGTTAGTGTCCACATGGTTAGTAAACATCATCCCAACACCTAATCTGTGCTAGCTAAACAGAATATGTACAAACTGTCTCCTCCTCCACCTCCTCGCTTCACTCCTCGATCTCCAGGATCAGGTCGTCTCCCTCCAGGGAGGCGTCGGGCTCCACGTGGATGGCCTTGATGGTCCCGCTCATCGGGGAGTTGACCACCGTCTCCATCTTCATGGCTGAGAGGACGCAGAGAGGCTGACTCTTCTCCACCTGCAGAGGGTTCAACACAGCAGCTCCTCAGACAAATGTTCAGTCAGCGTGGGTTTGAGGAAAAACTGAACGACTTCATTCTGGTTATACTGATGAGCTAATGGCTAGTCTGAACAACTCTGAGCTCCTATCAGTTTATTTTGAAAGGAATATAAACAACGAGCTCAGCAGGTGACCTGGGGATTATTATTATTATTATCTTTGTGTAAAGTACCACAAACTGATACTGGAGTAAAAGTACAAGTATCTTACCAAAAAATACCTAGGTCAGAGTTAATTCTTCTTACTTGCGAGTAAAAGTTTTGAAGTATCTGATATTCTTTGTACTTAAGTATTAAAAGTAAAAGTATTGATTTAAAATGAGCAGTTAGATTTTACATAATGATATTTATTAGGAGGTGACCTCCCCAAAACAAAGCAGAAATTACTGTCGTATTAAAATAATTGATTGATGTTAAATTTAGGATGCACTAGTCCAGCTGCTTCAGTTTATATACATATATCAAGGCTGCACAAACCTTTTCTCCAAAATGAAAATCTATCTGAGGGCTGCGGCCAAATGTAATACATGAAATACAAATACTTCTTAAGTACAGTCCTTTTATTTTAATGATTATGTCCGTGTACAAACTAATATGGTATCAGAGTTTTACATATTTATACTTCTCATTCAACCACAGTTAAATTCACTATCTAGGAGGCACAATTTATTTGGATAGTTTTTATTTTTTGCAATAATAAGCTGGAATAAAAACAAGCAAAAAATGAAATAAAACGACTTTCTACTTCTTGCCATTTTTTAAAATGTAACGAGTAGAAAGTACAGATTGTGTGAAAATTGATTTGATTTGATTTATTGATTTAACAGGAAAAGATTACTAAAAATCAAGC